CATTCAACTGAAGATGACAGAAGCTCTGTCGAAACATGTCTTGCAAACTTAAAAAATTGGTCGTTTTCCTTAAAATATTTACATGTCTGCTGCTATCTAAATTTAGAGATATTTTAATGGATATTGTTAGAAAATATGTTCACCTGTGATATTTTGTTTGTAGACTCTTTTAACTGCTCTTCATACTGAGCTTTGATTACTATCTCTTTCCTTTCTAAAGTCTCGGAATCCTTCCTGGCCTGTTCTAACAAATGGTCCCTCTCTCTTGTTAGCTGTTTGACTTCTGATGCTAGCTGTTCATGTGACAAACCAGCCTCTGGCTCACCAGCAATGTTCCCTGAAATGTAAAAGGTTATTGTAGGATATTCAAAAGAGGGAAAGAAAATTGGAAAAATTACTTGCCCTTCAGACAAGTGCTATTAAGAAATGAGAGATTTAACTTGTTCAAATGAAATCTTTGTTTTTGCCAGTCAACTGGACACACTGCTGACGTCAATATTTTGTCAACAAAGGAGCTTTGTACATTCATCCCATTTTAAATTGTCAGACAATGAAATCTACCGCCATGCTGCTGGTTTCTGTACTTGTATCTTGTTGTTTTTTTAGTGCCTTACATGATTATAATCTCTGGGAGAGTCAAAGAACTTATTTAATTATTAATAATAAGTTAATAGTGTTATTATAGGTTGTTTTGTACATACCATCAGACGTTGTTTGCATATTTTCAGCACCTTTGGTAGCTGCTTCAGACAGTTCATTTCTCAACTGTATCTTGCGATGAGTTATTAATCCTAGACATCGCACAAGAATAAAGAGAATTTTAGTGTACAGTATGAAATTTATTTCATTTTATTTGTTTTCTTTATTCATTTATTTATTTATTTCATTTGGTGATGATAAACTTTTATGAAATCAGCACCTTACCTGACTACAAGCAAGAAAAATCTGATTTTTAGAACATAACATATACAGTTCAAATATACTGACCTTGAAGAAATTTCACTCGTCCAGATGCAAAACTAACACGTTGAGTAAATACAGCAAGTTTCCTAAACGCTTCATCCATCTCTGAACCAACGTTTTCCATGAAAGATTCTGTTGTCTGAGCAACCTCTTGAAGATTACACACAGTCAATTGATAATTTGCAACAAGGGACTTCAGCCTTTTCTCATTTTGCTGACACTTTTCCAGCTGCCTTTCCAAAGATAGGCTCCTGTTAACTTCAATTTGCTGTTCCGCTTTTTTGTCAGCTAAGAGATGTGTCAACATGGCTGCTTCTCTCTTTGATTCCTCCAGCTCTTTACTCAAATGTTTCACCTAAAAATATCATATGTTTTGATGTCAACAGTTCACATCAAAATTCTTGTCACTGGACTTCATTTAAGGTAAAGGTTTCTCCTAGGGAGAATTTAATTTTCAATCAGAAACCATGACCAGATCTCAGTGGGGTACAAGTGAAAGGGTTTAGCTTGTTTGTTGAAATTTATTCATGCAGTGGCCTAAATTTGTGTTTGCTTTAATTTTTCTCAAACCAGTTTGCAATTGTATTGTTATCTTCATTTGCTTCAGTTTACAAATCACACTGGTTTGAAAAATTTTAGATCATACAAAATTGCTACAAATAATATGCCACACTCACCTGAGCCCTCTCATTTCTTTCTTCCTTCTCACAGGTGATCTCTTGTGATTTTAATTGAACTAACAAGGCAAACACCTTCCCTCTCCACTTTGTAAGCAAACTGTCTCCTTGACTGCTGTCACCCTTGGTGAATTTAGTTTGAAACTTAACTAATTCTGTCTCTTGAATGGAAAGAATTTCATTCATGGATGATAGTCTCACATTGAGAAGTTCTACCGTAGATCTTAAATGCTCATTTTCCTGTAATAAGCTGGTGATGTTTTGCTTTGCGTCTTCGTTCTCTTTTTGAAGTTTCTCCATCTGTGTGTTTGGCAGGTTCTCTCCGATGTAAGCTCTAAGTTGGTCAACAACTGAGTTCTGAGCCTTAAGTTCTTCTTCTTTCCTCTCAAGCTTTCCTAGGAATGGTCAGTGGTGGGTCAATATAAACGAAATGAAGGGTAGGTGAAATATGGCAGTGTAAGGTATATAATCTGTGCTTACCTTTTTACTTGGAAGAGGGGTGTAGGGGAAGGGAGGCAGAGGGGGCCATAAAATTCTTGATAAAGGTCATTTTTGAGTTTTAAAAATAAGTTATTGCCATATCAGAAATGATTTTTTTATCAGATCTGTATCTTTTGAGTGGGTTGTGAAGGGGAGGCCCAATCTCTGTTAGTAACACATGGACTCAAGTTGTGACTCGGGTCTCATCCTCGGAAAAACTAAGGACGGAACTTGGTAAAAGAAGATTAATAAGGTAGGCCAAAACTAGTGTAAACAAACAATGTGTTTAGCACTTAAGCTTGACGTTCAAAAGCTCTGTTCACACAAATTTATTTGTTTAATTTTCCATTTGCCCAATTATTTTTCCCTGAGATTTTGGCAATGATGATGATTTACTAGTGGCATAGGCAGTGAGACTTGCTGCTTTGAATTGCTTGGTTGATTATCTCACCTGTTAGATTCTGGACTTCTCTTTGATATGAAATTGTCTGCTCTTCTATCTTACAGCTTAGTTCTGTAAAAGTTTTGTCAAAATCTGATTGACTTGCTTGAATTTTTTCTTGACAATTGGTTATGTTTGTTGAATACTCTCTTTCTTTTGCTTTCAGTTCCTCTTTAAAAATCTTTAGTTCTTCTTCTGCAGCATTCAGTTTGTTTTTTGTCTCTACGTGAATCTGTTCTCTTCTTGAGAGCTCATCACTCATTTCTTGTAACTCTATTAAATACTTTGCTTCACAGGCATTTAAACTTTTCTGCAATGCTTTGATTTGCTCATACTTGTCATATTCATTTTTGCCGAGCACATCTTCAAAACCTCTCCTATCAATCTTCACCTGCTCCTCTGCATTTTTAACTTCAGCTTTTAAATTCTTGACAATCGCCATTTGCTTTCTGGCGCGTTTCTCCAAACTCTCCACTTCTCTCTCGAACATTTCCTCCTTTTGTCGCAATTCAGTTTTGAGCTCCTTGATCAACGAATTCGCCTTCTCTAGCTCGGCTTCGCTTCTTTCAAGGTCTGTTTCAAAGTTACTTTTCATCTCTTTAAGCTCTGTTTTGAGTTTAGCGGTTAAACCTCCGAGCTTTCTAACCTCCGATTGCAGCGAAAGATTTTCCTCTTGAAGTTCGGCCATTCGTTTCAGATCCAGTGCGTCATCGACTCGGCCTTTCTGCACCATAAGCCTGGTCTTTCGAATCTCGCCCTCGAGACGCAGTTCTTCCTCTTTCGACCGCTCCAGTTGCTGTCGAAGTTGTTTGTTTTCATTCTGCAACTTGTTGATTTCAGCCAAAGCTCTGGCACTCTCATCACCTTGATCTTTCACTACATTATATTCAGATGGGGGTAAAAGCTTCGTTGCAGCCGAATCCGTTTTCTTTGAAGGGATTTTAGGACGTGTGACCTGAAAATATGCAGGAGAAAGGAACTTTTCGCTAACATTTTTGCTGCTGCCCGCCATTTTTTTGCGAAAGACAGAATCGACCAGGCGTAAAACCCAGAAAGCTTTGCAAGCCGCGCATTTCACAACATTTTCACGTGGTGCCATTTTACGACGAAAAACACGATGGGAAGACAGAAGAAAAGGGTTTGTTTTGACGGTTATTCCTGTCTGTTCTTAAACTTTGCTACCATGTAACAAGGAAAACTACTTTTTGAATTGTCCATAGGGAGAAAGTGGAGCGGCAACCAACTATATTTCAAGAAATCAAGCGCTAAAGAAACTACAGCTCAGTTTGCCAGATTTCAGGTGAATGTTTGATTATTTAGCTTAGAATATCTCTGATTGTTAAAGGCCTTAGAGGTTTTCCTTGATAACTTAAATCCTTTAAGACTTGAGCTTCACCTAAAATGTTTTGTCTGTGCATGATATTTTAGAGGCGGTGTTCTAGGGGAAATTAGCCATTCCCTTTCTTCAAACCGGCTTAAGATCCTGGATACTTAGCTTAAGTTTACTTTGCGAACCTAGATAATGTGTTTATGTGATTTGAAAATAAACCATCTTTTGAACGTTATGCAGGTTCTTTTGAAATTTGTATTTTCTTACCCTATCCCTATCCCCAACCCCCACCCCCCACACATCCACCTAAATGCAGTTAGATGATAATTTTTAGGATATAGGGCTTTTTAGGGGGGGTCCTTCTTAACTACAGTATGGGGCCCAGTTCTCNTCAAGGTGTTTCTTAGAAAGCTAAAGAAAGCTATCGCCAAAGAAGAACCAGACACTGCTCAAAGACTAGAAGACAACAAACCAATTTACAAACTTGATCACATTCTTAAGGAGAGGTAAGTATGTTTTGGTTTAGTTGTCAAAAGGTTTAGAATCAATTGTTAAGAAATTGAGGCGACACTGTATGAAACAGGGCAGTATCTGTCCTTTCCCTGATAACAAGATGGAACCGTAGTAGTGATAACAAAAGGAGTTTTTTTTCCTCTCTTGAGTTTGTTGTTTTCTTATTGCTCCATGTGGGTAAGGACTGCCTCATTGCAGGTAGCATTGCAAACAGCTTGCCATTAAAGATCTTTCAAATATTGATGAATAAGACAGTTATCCAGTTGTACTAATGAAAATTTTTAACCTTTACAATGGTGGCTACAATCACTCTCAATGAATGTTGCTATAGGTTTTTTCGACTTGAACTTGTAATTTTCAGGTACCCAACATTCATTGATGCTGTTAGAGACTTGGATGATGCTCTGTCCATGCTTGTCTTATTTTCCTCAATGCCACAGACCGATAAAATTCAGGTTAGCTATTTTTTAATCGTTTTTCTGGATGTACACACACAATAGTCATGTCGTCTTGAAAACGTTTCTTCATTACCGGTAGTTTTGCTTTTTCCACAGGCTGATGTGGTAAAACAGTGTAAAAGATTGTCAGGTTTGTAGCTAATTTGAATTATTGCTTCAGATAGTCTGTCCATCAGAAAGCGACTTTGGTGTGTTAGAATTAGAGTCCTGTTGATGTGATTACTGCCAGATTGCTTGTGAGTCCAAGCTCTATTATTTTTGACCAGATAATAATTATAGATAAAATCTCTGAATCTCTCTGTGCTTTCAATTACATAATGTTTGTCAGGGTCAACCTGGCTTGGTACATGTGACTCTACATGACTTGTACAGGTCTATATGAAAGGACTCCTTGTGT